TTCCCAACGCGGAGGTGCATGGTGTTTAGGATGGCTCAGGTCGGAGGCAGCAGGCCTGGGCCGTATCCACAGTATCTACAGGGCATGACCCCCCAAAAAGGCTGTGCAGTATGATGGGGTGCCCAGGTAGATTGATGAGTAACCGGTCATCCGTGCTCCAGGGCTGCGGTCACGGAAGTACCGAAGATTCGGGGCACTTGCCTGTTTCTCAGGCCCACGCACAGGGCTTTACTCCAGGACACTTCGTGCCTACTCGTATAGCTTTTGGGCTCAGGGTTGAAGGGTTTTGAGGGATTTTGGGGTCTTAAGCTCAGGATTTAGCGTGTGGGCTCCTAGCCCCAGCTTAGCACCCATAGCCCCAGGCAGCCCCGGGCTGTGATGTGATCGTTCTTTCCCGTGGGCCTCCTTCGGCGGCGCGGCTTCTGGCGATAAGGAGTGGCAGGAGCGGCATGCGCGTTTCGGCTATTGCTGAGCCCGCGAGGGCCAAGGGGGCTGCAGGGGTGCGACGGTGTTGGCAGCACCGGCGGTGCCTCTCCAGCGGTGGGAGGTGCGCGTGCTCTTCGGACGCCCCGGTGCTCATGTGGCGTCTTTACCGTGGGACCTGGCGCAGAGACATCAGTGAGGCGTGCCGCTGTGCCAACCCAAGATTTCGGAGGATCCGAAGCTGCCTGAAGGCCTGAGATTTTTGCTGGAGGCAGAAGCCCCTGGTTTCAGAGGCGCGGGGGTCCTGAAGACTCCAGGCCAGGAGCTCCCAAAGATGCGAGGCCTCCTGCAGGCCACTTGGGATCTCCGGCGCCTCCTCGGAAGTTTGCCGCACAGCTGGGCCCCGAGAGAAAAAGCGTTGTGCAGAAGTGTTGTGGGAATGAGAGAGGAGTCCCTTTTTTGCTGTTAGATCCTGTTAGGTTTTGGAGTTTGGGGCGTTTGGGTTTAGGTGCCCGGTACCCACCACCCACCCAATGTCGGGTACCCACATCGCCCCCGACGATGGATCCATGTACGGTGCCCCCATGGGCCCCGACATGCCCCGACGGACAACCGCTCGAATGGTTTTTGCAGGCCCTCCTTTACTGAGAACATGCTGTTTGGAAGCGAAAGCAACAAATGTAGCGCGTGTTTCGCATGTTTCGCATGTTTTGCATGTCTTGTGGCTAATGGTGGCTTTTGATTGATGCAAGTTCTTCAGATGTTTCCAAGAGGCAGGCTTGGAAACTATTCTTCCAAGCAGGTTCGACGCGTGTTTTCTTCTTCCGGTTCATGAGTCCGTGTCCGGGGCGCCGTTTTTCAGTCAAATCACCTGGCATGGGGCTTACTTCGAACATTTCCCACGCGTCCCGACAAGAACGTCTCCCCGCAGCAAGCTTTGAACGGAGCGAAGAAAGCTATGACCATATTCAGGTTCATGACATGTGCATCTGCGACGGATCGCATTTACTGCCAGTGTCGCGAAGCCCCTGCGCGTCCCGGCAAGGCTGGGGCCCAAGCAAAACGAAGCCCCGAAGACGTAATTGAAGGTTTTCGACAAGTTACAATATGTAGATCGTCTTGGGATGGCGGCTCAAAGCGGTGATTTCATTACTCACACTTGGTGTTTGAGCTTGAGTTCGTTTCAGGTCTTGTGCTTGAGATGAGCTTGGTGGTGTTCTTGGGCTTGCGGGCTTGGCTTGAGCAGGGAACCGGTAATTTGCCGCGAGTTTTTCCATGTTCCAGTGGTTGCCTGTCAAAAATTTGGTGGCTCAGTGGTGATGTGTCATGTGATTCAGGGGGATTGTTTTTGGTTTGGGAAGTTTTGGGTCGCGATGTCTTGACGGTCAATCTGTACTGTAGAGCCAACATTGTGTAAAGTATGCCGCAATTCGTAAGTGCCATGCGCCACAATCCAAGGCGTCTTGCAGGGATGCCACTTTTCGCCATGCGCTGGTCACCACTGAAGCCACGGCCGGTTGAGACTTGGCATCACAGCACCGGCCGGAGGTAGAAACACTGGATTTAGTCGGTCAGCTGCTCTGGCGCTACAAGGCATGTCTGTGATCATCAGTCGAACACAGCACTTGCTTCATCTTGCTGCACTGAGGACGGCCGAACCGCCTTGCAGAGCCATCTCTGTGTCCAACTCGAAGCTTCTTCAATGCTGCTTGCAGCAAGGATTGTTGCAAGCAGGTGACTCTGGATCTCCAGCCGCCCATGCATGATGTTCGCTGAGCACACTGCATGAAAACTCAGAACCACGTAGGAGCGAGGCAGCACGCAGTGAACACTTGGTAAGCTTGACTGGCTTCTCGCTTGGCCCATCAATGAAAGCTGCAGCTGCCACAATCCAAACCCGTCTGTGTTGCCCCGACCATAGTACGCTAGCATTACAGTGCGTTGCAATGCGGCGGATCCTGCAATGATTCGACCAGCTTGACGCTCCGGTTACGCTTGTGTGGTTTGCACACTACTGTGCATGTATTGGGCGGCGGTCGCCACCATCCTTGTGCATTACGCTGAGCATTAAACACCTCGATCTCAGCTGCATCTCAATGATGGCAGGCTTCGCTCTTCTGAGAGTCTCAGAGTTCTCAAATCATGCGATGATGGCGACGAGGGTGGCCTCTCAAAGCTTGTCAAAACACCACGGAAGCTGCGGGTCATCGCTCTGTTTGTCTGACGTGACACATGAGAGATCGCGATGAGCTGCCGACACAACCCTTTCCTTCATGCCCTGTGGCGTGTACATGATTCGACTGAACGCAGTTTTGCAGATGCCGGGTTTGCCCGCTTGAGTGGGCACATTGTGTTCATCGTTATTGCGTGGTAGCTGGCAGCATGCAAGCTCTAAGCCATTTCAGCCCTCCGACCCCTCGAGCACGTCAAGCCGAAAAGCCCTAAAAACTCAAGACCATTCCGGCCAATTTGACCGGCCAATGGTGTTGGGCGCATGCTCAAAAAAGGCCGCAATGCTCTCACTTCTTGAACACGGCTGGCTCCATCGCAAGGTTGAGAAAATCACACCTTCTGCTGCCATAATGCTGGCCAGGCTCGCTGAGCTTCTGTACTGCTTGTGTTGGTCATCTGTGCACTGCGAAGCTGGTGTTTCCGAAGCTAGACGTTCACCGGTTCGCCCATGCCTCATATTCCGTCGTCGTCAGAGTGCGCTCGCTGGAAGTGCAAGGCAGCAGAAGGCAAGTCCTATAGTTAGGAAGATGTTGAAGAAGCATAGCCTACATCTGACTTCTCCCAACGCCAAGATGATTTGCAGCATCAGCAGCGATATACCACTGGGTCTGCAGCTCTTTGCCCACAAGTGATGTGCGCTCAGGGCTCAGGCAGGGAGAGGCAGGGACTGCTTGGTTTTCCGCGAGCTCCGTGGCTGCCAGCTCGTGGTGGTTCGCACGCTGCGATACAGACCTGATGTGCAGTCGGTGGCCCTCGGGCACTAGGATTGGGGTTTTCTTGAAGGAGTAGACGGGCCATTCTTGTAAGGGTTTGGTGCTACACGCGTGCTAATTCTTTAACCAGATATGTGTGAAGAGCACTGTGCGCAGGAGTTTGTTGAGCCTGCTGACTACAAGACCTAGATTTGAGTGTGGAAGTCTGCGCTTCTGCTACTTGCCTGCCTGTTGACCATGCTGACCGAGAACAACCTTTGCAAATGGGGAGTCGGTTTGCAAAGCGCCCTAGGTCAGGCCCTAGGTGCCTGAACGCGAATTTCACGAGTCGCACCGGTCGCAGGTCTGTTGCAAGCCTTAAGGTTTCACAGGGCATGTGAAGCGGGTGCTGGATCGATGTCCTCGAGATGCGTCTGGCGCTGAGCCGAGCTGCGCAGATGCTCTCGCCAGCCACGGTGAAGTAGCTTGCGTTTGCAGTTTGCAGTGTCTAAGCTGCGCAGCATCCCCCAGCAGTAACCTTGCAGAGTGAGGCAGAGTTGGCATTTTCTGCCTGTGACCACTCACGCAACCATCCAACCGAGTGCTCTCATCGTTGTGAGCTTCCCGGTGTGGCGAATTCGGCCTCGTCCGCGACGCTCGCAGCAGGCTTCAGTCCGTCTGGCGTAAAGCCTGCAAGACTCTTTCACCTCGTGCGCCGGCCCTTGCATTGACAAGTTGGCAAGACAGCTGCTTGCTGGCTGGCTCCCAGCAGGTGAGACTCATGGCCCCCGTGAGCTATCCAGCAATCAGGCTGCCAACAGGCACTGCTGAAGCTGCACTCAGACTGAGATCCTCAAAAACCGCTTAACTCCGCTAAGCCCTAAACCTCTCGGTCGACTCACGCTGCCTGCCATTATACGGGTATTCCCTGTCATATCCTCCACCCACGAGATCTGCCAGAGGTTTTGCTGACCTGGCCCCCTTTCTCCTGGGTTCCACGGCTTACAAATTGCAAGACTCGATCTTGCTTTGCTTCGCAACACAGCCGCAGCTTTGCAAATTTGGCACTTTGGGTCTTCCTTTCGGAGAGGCTGGCCGCCTTGGTGATGCTTTACTTCGACTCTCCTCCGGGTCGTGACGTGTCGCGTCTCTGTGAGACTTCTCCCTAGCTCTCTCTTCACGCAACCGAAAGGAAAGAAAAGGAGCACCTCTGTGGCCCTGTAAGTGTGCCAGACCGCCTGAAACGCGCTGAAGCGAAGCATCCACATGCCCCCCTCCCTATCCCCAGGAGACAGGAACTGTGTCCTTGCGAGATCTGGTGAGGCTTCTCAGGGCGAACTGGAAGCCTGCCGGATGGCAATCTGTCTCTACTTGCTGTGCTTTGCATACAAAGTCAGGCTTGTGGCGCTTGAGCCAGTGGAAGCAAGTGGAAACGTGCCCATCGGGCCTCTTAGCCGGGGAAGAGGGATTCCGCAACACATGGGACCACGACTAGTGGCCCACGTTTGGTATGGGTTGTCCAGATTCTTGTCAGCTACTTCTGCCAAAGCGTGTGAACCGATGAGGTAGAGCTGTTTCATTTGCCAATCTTGCAGCTGTGCGCAAAGCCTCGACTAAGCGGTTTTATGTAGCCAGCTTCGCCACCCTGCCACAATGCATGGAAGCGGGCCATCAAGTCGTTCAGTTGGATCCGTCTGGCCTTCGAGTCAGGGTTGGACAGTCAAAATTTACAGGGGTCTGTTGGTCAGAATGAGCATTCCCATTACATCTAACTTTGTGACCGTGCCGTTTGCAGGGTTACCAGCAGAAAGTTCTATGACCTTCCTGAGAAAGGCATCCGGCATACTGCACTACTCACAGGACTTGGCTTCTCGACATGTGTCATCATCTGGGTGCGGGAGCTTGTTGCGCTTGTCAGGGCACCTGGAAGAGCTCTGGGTGGTGCTATTGGGCTTTCTTCCCAAGGACATCGAGAGGCTGTTTACTTTGGCAGGCCAATCTCTGGCAATGCAAGGAACCATGGAAAAGGCTGGCGCTCGACTGCTGAAGCAGCTGAAGCCCCTCCACTCCGTTCTGCGGCCGCAGTTGAAGTTGAACTGCTTGACAGCTTTCTTCCGGTGCCAAGCATCAATGGTTCTCAGGGCCACGTATGCCTTTTGCCAGAAGAGGCTTCCTTGGCTCGTGCCTGCACTGTGGGCATAATGCCCGCGGCCCGCATCACAGGCAGCTGGCCTGCCATGACCAAGGGCTCCGCGTGTGTGTGCCACGCGCGGTGGAAGCGCAACAACTTGTAAGATGCAAGTCGTGAACGCGACCTGAACTGAGCTGATTGGGCTCATTTGTGAAAACCTGGGGCGCCGAGAAGCTTGAGCTGTCCCAGGGAGGTGCAGTTTCCGAGTCGGGAGGCCATGGGCGTGATCCTTGGCCGTGAGGCTTTGGTATTGTATTCTGGGAGTTGAAGTTCAAAGGTTGCAAGTGAAAAGTGAGCTCTCCCCCGCAGCGCGGCCTATGGTGGTGAGGGTCCAATGGAAGCAGGCGCTTGTATCAAGCCGACTAATTCCACCAGTCAACCGCTGCAGTCGCCGCCGGAAGGCGGTTCGACAGATGCAGTATCTCATGATTTGCCGAGGAAGCGTTGGTGCGTGTCGTGGTGAGCCTTGAAGCCCTGTGCCTCCTGCCAGTCCAGACTGAAACCAGCAGCGCTCCGCCGCCTCTTTGCATCGTGCAGATGGTGCAGCGATCGGCGCTGCTGATGACCTTTGGTTATCTTTGGCTTTCGGGTTTAGGGTTTAGGGTATGCTGAGAGCATCCGGGTGTTAGCGAACAACTTGTTGGCTCCCCTTGAACCCAAGCCGAAGATGCAGTGGTCCTTTTGTGTTGCGGTTTGCGTTGCATAGCGCCACGCCGCCCAGGGAACAAGCTCAGCTAAATCAGCTAAGACACCTGTTCAGAAACCTCAAATCCTGGTCATTGAAAAATGTATATCGACCGGTTCTGCTGCAAAGACGGCTGTTGCCGTCATGCCTTTAGCAAAACAGCACGCGCACACAGCGACCTGCCACGCTCCAGAACCGGAAGCTCCCTGAAAGACTTGTAGATGTCGAGCTTCCTCCAAAGCAGGGCAAATTGCTGGGCTGAGCCGCCCCCTTGTGTTTGTGTCTGGGGGCCCGAGGGCAGAGGGTCCTTTTCCCCACCCTGCACACAGCGTCCGGAAGTGCTTCAGACAACCATGATGGCCTTGCCCGACCACGCCAGGTGCACATGCGTGTCCGGTCGCGATAAGTGCGTGCAGAGACGGAGGATGCACATCGTTTTCTGTATCGGTTTAGCTTTTCACAAAGCCTGTGCCAAGCTGGCCCCGAGTCCTTGGGTCATTTACTATCTCCCGAATGCAATGCTGCTTTGTGCAGAGAACCAGCGACGTTTCGAGCTGAACCTTAAAACGTTGTGAAGCCATGCGAAGCCCGAAGCCCCAACCGCGAAACGGCCAATGCACACCGCAGTGTGACAGCCAGCCGATGATGGGGCTAAAGAGCGTTAGAGCGCATGTGTGCGACATGCGATCCCTTCATGGGCCTTGTGCGCTTGCCCTTAGCCGAACGATGCACACGATCGTCACCAGTCGGGACAAGCGCAAGGGGCTCCAGCTTGGTTACGTGAACTTGAAGTGGCTGGTGCAACTAGGCATAGAGAAGGAATGCTTCAGAGGCAAACAGCCCAGTTGATAGTTCAGTGAGCGCAGAATGAAACATGCGAAGCTGCGAGGCGGCTGCCTTGCTAAGTCAGGGAGTTGCGTGTGCGCCGTGATCTGCAACTAGCTGTCTTGGAGCTGTCGTGATGTGCAGGTGGTCCTCAGCAATAAACATGATAAACGCTGCCGCTCAGAATCTGTTCTGCCCTCTCAGAAGGTCTTCTCCACCATGAGCCAACGAGCGGGTGAGGCTGGTGGCAGATGACTCAGCAAAGTCTCCATGTCACAAGCCGTCCAGGCCTTGCAGCCGAGGTGGGAGGATGTTTAGTGGACACGACCCTCCTCGTGTCAGCAGCAGCCGTTCGCTTTCCATTTTGGAATGCAGCACGCCGATCGGGCCGATTATCTCGGCCGACACCGTCAATGCGCATCTCTCACACATCGACAGTGACAAGGGGCAGATCATGCTCAACAAGGGTCACGCGAGTCCTTGCTACTTCGTGAGTCTCTTCCTAAGGCACACAGGCAGAGCCGGCGGAATTTCTGGGACAATGCTCGTGCGCCAGGCATGGTGCCCAAAAGCATGCTCGGCAAGACGCAGCCATCACGTGCGGCTGCTAGCTCTTTCCGGAGGAATCCGCAAGGGGTCACTCGGCAATCTCATCCAGAGAACAGAGTGTGAAGGTCCCTTTCTAGCTCTGGCAATGTATGTTGCTGCAGAGATATGTTCACCATGGACATTAGACCTACTGATGCAAGGAGGGTGTGTGTCCTGCAGCCAGCTGTGTGTCTAATCTGCCAGTGTGCTCTCCAGACTTGTGCGGAAGACTTGATTCTTGGTGGCTGGAGCCTGGGTGCTTTGCCATCATCCAGCCTGGTGATGTGGTTGCAAGCAGCAGGCGTCCGTGTCCGTGGACTGTTTCTGTTGGACCCGCGTGGTCCTGGCCTCCTCGGTCTTCCCTCCGCACTGCCATCTCATGTTCGGCAGGAAGCTACAAGATTCAGACCTGAAGTGTTGAGCTTGGCATATGAGAACCCCATGACGAAGCCCCGCCAGTAATGCGGCACTGAAGCTTCTGCATGAGTTGACCAAGAGGTGAAATTATGTGTGCTTTGAAGACTGCACATCTGCATCTGCATGCCTGCCCAGGAAGAAAATATGCTTGTGCCCAGGAAGCCGAGCACTGCGACATCGGCGACAAGTCTGCCTGGGACATACTCTCTGACAGGAAGGTTTTGATGCTTGTCTTACTGGCTGATGCAACTAAAGCGAAGCTCACAGCCAAGTGACGCCTCTTTCAATCTTTCGGGCGTGCTTTGTCTTTGCTTTTGGTTTGCTCACAGACTTCCCGCATTGCAGGCGTAGGATTTGCGTGATTTTTTAGTGCAACTGAGGCCGCCGTCGCAAGCGGAGTGCGTGTCCAGAAGTTTTGAGGCATTCTGATGCACAGCGTCGGGCATCTGCGCCATCGAGGTCCTGTGAGTGCACGGGACTGTGTAATCCTGTTTGCGAGCGAATGGAGCGTGGTACGCCCACTCGCTGGCGGACCCTCTGGCAATTGGCCCTCTTGAAAATCAATCGTTCGGAGACATGAAGGTTTGACTGTTGAGTGTTCAGCCTTTAACACTGTTCCGGCGGTAGAGGAGATGCGAAAGATAAGGCAGAAGGATAAAGTCAGGAGAAATAGCGTCGAACATGTTTCAGATGAGAGAAGTTCGGGCATGGTTCGGTAATGGGATGAAGACAGGCTCTTGCTGAGGGATGTTGATGAAGACGCCCGCTTGGAATGCTCCGCAGTCGAAGCACCCTGTTTATCTTGAATCTCCGGGTCGTCTTACCAGGGCAGTCGCAGTCTTCTGGCATCTTCTTAGCACACATAAACAACCCCTGAGTTTGAGGTTCAAGTCGATGGCTTAGACTCATCGCCTTTGTTCCTTCGCTCCAAGCGCGGCTCATCAATGGACCACACTCGAAGGATCATCAGGAAGCGAGAAGGGGCCCTAGCCTGAAGGACATTGCCGATTTGCTTTTGTCAATGTGATATCTTCCAACCATGACTTGACTTCTTACAAAGCAAAAAGCAAGGCATCAAGGAGCGACAATGGCGAGTGTTTGTCTGAAGATTCCTGTTCCACCTCGAAGTGCACCGAACGAGATGTGCTTGCATGTGTGTTGCCATTGTTGGCTCCGGTGACATTAGATTACGCAACAACTCTCCTCATTTGTCTCCATGTGCGTCCTGGCGGGACGGTTTTCCTGGTCTTGTTTGGCTGTTGGCATTCTTGTCGCTCATTGCGAAGAATGTTTGAACAACGACACCTTTGCAGCTTTGCAAGCCGTCAGTGCGCGCTCTGAGGCGCCAGGTCCACCTGCTGGCTTGGGCGAGGGCGGGAATCCGGTGACTCTGATGAAAGACGTCTCGAATGTCGACATCGACGACGAAGTCCTTGCCTGCAGCGACCCAAAGTGGAAGCCAGGTGGGGGAATGTGGACTTTTGAGCAGATCGCAGAGGCTTTCATGGAGTTTGGCTACAAGAAGTTCTACGAACCTGGGAGCACAGCTGATGCAGTATCTGCTTGTGTCGCTTCCTTGACCATAGCGGCTGGTGAGTGTCAAGAGACACATCATAGTTTGGGCGTTGGCTGCGACGCACAAGCCACGTATGACTCGGGTGTTTTTCAGCTCGACTTCCTCCGTGCACCATTCACCCCGCTCGGAGACAAAGTGCAAGCGCAGATCAACAAGGATGGAAACATGATAAACCTTTGCATCAGTGGCTTTGGTGCCGGCTTCATCACTGCTGCGCCCTACACCTCGAGCGCCAAGAAGGGTGTTGCATACCTTGAGAAGACATCCATTTACACATGCATGGGTAGTCCAGCTGATGTGAATGCCTACTCTTGTCCTGACCCTCTAGCCAAACCAGGAGTGACCTACGCGAACTTCATAGGCACTTTCTGCCACAAGGGTTATTTGCAGAACGATGCGGAGGGTAAAAAGCCCTGCAGCCTCACGCAGACAACTCCACGCTGTTGCGGTGTTTTCATGGGCGGTGCCAATGGCTACCAGCTGGCTCCATTCCCGGAGTACTATTTCATGAAGGCCCAAGAGCACTTGAGCAAGATGCGTGGCAAGAGCTTTAAGACCATTTGTGAGAAGGTCGTTGAAGATTTGGAATCAACTACCTAATCGATGTCACATGTCTGATTTCCGCCACAGGGTGGGAGTAATGGGAATGGCCAGTGAAATGAACTCTGCATGCATAAGCCATGTCTGGACAACTTGATCATCCCGCGCTTGTGAAAAAAAAGGCTCTTCCCAATGCCGGCGAATTGGAGAACCTTTGAGCCCGGCTTGGCTTTGAGCACGTTCCGTTTCCCTCGAAATCGATCTTTCGAAGTTTGCCTCGAAATCCTGAAGTAGACATCTCTCTGATAGTCTTTGATTGTTGTTGTGCTGTATGCTTCTTCAATTTCCTTCTGCCGCTTGCAGCATGATGGGCTGCGTCGCGGATCTTCCCAGATGGCCCTAGGTTTCCCATTTTTTTGAAGCTCTGGCGTAGTTGTCCCCGAATTGTAGTCGGTTTTCAATCTCGCAGCACAGTGCACCGCGCACATGTCTTGCAGCTGCGGCCTCCTTTGGAACACCGCAGCTTAATCAGAAGCCTGCGGCCCCAGAAGGCTGGAATATGCATTTTACAATGAAAAACGCGTATCAGCCTCCCCGGAAAAGCATGTCCGAAAACGCATGTCCTCAAAACGCATCTTCGAAAACGTATGTCCCCAAAACACATCTTCGAAAACGCATGTCCCCAAAACGCATGGCCAAAAGCGCATGTGCCGGTGATGGCCCGTGGGTGGGGGTGGGAGGGCTGGGGAGGGGGGGGGGGGTGGAAGGCTGCAGTTGATGCTGGGGCTCCAAGAGCTCCAACCTGCAAATGTTGGTGCAACAACTGTTGTTGATCTTAGGGGCTTCTTTCTTTGAGGGTTTCGGGTGAGAAGAAAGACACAGACCCGTCGCAACTTCAGCCAGGCCCCCACAAAAAAGCGCTTTTATACAACATGGCTTTTTGGACAAGACACAGCCCAAACCGTAAACTAAACCCGAACCTTAAACTTAGCCTGAACCCTAAACCCTAAACCCAAAGAAGCCCAGGACCAGGAAGAAAAACATATTCATACCGGATCCCAAAAGGCATGTTCCCAAACTGCATGTTTCAAGAATGCATGTCACGTGAGGAAACTGGGCATTTCCAGAACATTTTTTACCTTTTTGGAACACAAATCCTTGGATATAACATGCATCTTTGGAACATGCGTTTTTGGGCGTATTGTAATGTGTTTATGGCTTAACTTCTGCGATGCATGTGGCTGGCTTTCACTCATTTGTTGCGATGTGGAATCCTACACCGTAGCCGCTGAGTTATCGTTGCACCGTTTCACTTCACGGCATGTTGTGGCAGGCAAGATTGTTGCGGTCAAGTGCAGCTACCAGGGCAAAGTGGATCAAAAACAGCCTTGAACTTTGGCGGGTACATGGGCAGGATGTGTTTCCAACATGAGCGTGACAGACCCCCTACAATGTCCAAAGGCCCTTACAGGAGGGTCTATGTTGTCCTGATGCCGCGGCCTGCGATTCCCCAGCATGCCTTTCTGCTGGATCCTCGGGCTTGGGCAGGTTTAGGATTTTAAGGTTACACGTGAGGGCTGCATGCACTTGCAGAGCGCAGCTGCTGTCATCGTTGAGTGGACTTCGGACGAGGGTTTTTGTGGTGTGGTTTTGTTTTGGGCCAAGAGGTGATGAAGCTTGGTCTCTGCGGTCTCAGCAGCCACTGGGTCTGCTCTGGATCCAGGCCATTCTAGGTGGCCTTCTTTCGTTTTTTCGGGTTCGGTTTTTCGTATGAATCCCAGTGGCCCAACCATCGCTTGACTGTCCATCCAAGTCCTCAAGGCCTAACCAACCTCAGAGACATCCTCGAATCGAGGAGTAGTCAGGAAGGCCAACAACATCCTAGAAAGGTCCGAAAAAGGTTTGGGGTTATTGTTGCGGGGGGGGGGTGTGGTTTGGGGTTTCGCTTTAGGGGATGCTATACAAAACTAAGCCCCAAAGGCCCCGAGCACACACGAAATGTTCAACACGCCACCCCATCGGGACCACTGCTTCAGTTGCCGGAGCCCTGAATCCCAAACCCTGGAACCGTCCACCCTAAAATAAACGCAAGTAAATACCTAAACGCCAATGTTTCAAGACAATCCTCGCCATGCACCCTAAACGCCCAAACCCCAAGGCCCCAGGCGCGAAACGCAAACCCTTTTGTTGACGCATGGAAGATTTGTGTGGGTCGACCGCTTTAGTGTTCGGAAGCTCGGGGGCATACCCTGCGAAAGCCAGAATACTTGTCAGAGCAGCTGTCATGTAAGGCATCTTCAAGGTGTCTTCCTAGACTCTAAACTCTAAACCTTAAACCCTAAACCCTGCGCCTACACCCTAAACCCTAAACTTGAAACCGCCCCTAATCCACTGAACGTCGTCTCTAAGGCAGATGATCGGCAGGCCACCAAGCAAAAGCGGCCCATGCCTAAGCAAGTCAAGAAAGGGCATTGGGGGTTTAGGGTTTAGGGGTTTAGGGATTTTGGTTGGGGTTTTGAGCCTTAGGGCTTGTTGGTATCAGGGGCGCTAAAAAGCTCGAAGGTTTTTGAACCTAAGGGGTGCCAGTTTTGGAGGGTAGGGGAAGTGTACTCCATGCCGGAACAGCAGACCCTGAACCCAATAAACCCTAAACCCTAATCCCTAATTCTTAAACCGTAAACCCTAATCCCTAAGCCCTAAACCCTAATCCGTAAACCCTAAACCCTAAAAACTCCTCTCAGCTCTGCCCCCAGCATCCCTGAGGCCTAGGCTTAGCCGATCGCTACGTCGTCCGACGATGAAGGTGCCCTTGGGTCAGTTCTTTAAGCTACGCTTTCGGCATTTCTCTTATCTGAATTACAAGGATTTGAGCTCCTGGTCATGTCACATAGTCGCTAGGGCGTGATGCGAGAGCGCGGGAGGAATTAACTTCGCAACGTTTTAACAATTGCGACGTGACGATTTTAGGGGTCTTCTGTTTGGTCACGTTGACCCGAAGGCCCAATGGGTACTTTGGCAACGGATTTGTCAAGAGTTCTTGTGGTGTTGTTTCTGTATGCTGTCTAGTCTCGTTGACCCAAAGGCCCACGGGTACTTTGGCAACGATTTGTCCGCGGTTCCACTGCCACTTGCCGACAATTTTGTCACGTCGTCGCTTGATGCAAGGGCGTGATGGGAGGGCGCGGGGGTAGCTTTGCAATGTTTGACAATTGCGACGCGACGCTTTTTACGAGTTTTTGTTTGGTCACGTTGACCCAAAGGCCCACGGGTACTTTGGCAACGGATTTGTCAAGAGTTCTTGTGGTGACTGCTTCTGTATGCTGTCTGGTCTCGTTGACCTGAAGGCCCACGGGTACTTTGGCAACGTTGTGTTCGCGGTTCCACTGCCACTTGCCGACAATTTTGTCACGTCGTCGCTTGATGCAAGGGCGTGATGGGAGGGGGCGGGGGTAGCTTTGCAATGTTTGACAATTGCGACGCGACGCTTTTCCGAGTCCTTTGTTTGGTCACGTTGACCCGAAGGCCCACGGGTACTTTGGCAACGGATTTGTCAAGAGTTCTTGTGGTGACTGCTTCTGTATGCTGTCTGGTCTCGTTGACCCAAAGGCCCACGGGTACTTTGGCAACGTTTTGTCCGCGGTTCCTCTGCCACTTGCCAACAATTTTGTCACATTGTGGCTTGATGCAAGGGGGTGATGGGAGGGCGCGGGGGTAGCTTTGCAATGTTTGACAATTGCGACGCGACGCTTTTCCGAGTCCTTTGTTTGGTCACGTTGACCCGAAGGCCCACCACGGGTACTTTGGCAACGGATTTGTCAAGAGTTCTTGTGGTGACTGCTTCTGTATGCTGTCTGGTCTCGTTGACCCAAAGGCCCACGGGTACTTTGGCAACGTGTTGTCCGCGGTTCCACTGCCACTTGCCGACAATTTTGTCACGTCGTCGCTTGATGCAAGATCGTGATGGGAGGGGGCGGGGGTAGCTTTGCAATGTTTGACAATTGCGACGCGACGCTTTTACGAGTCTTTTGTTTAGTCACGTTGACCCGAAGGCCCACGGGTACTTTGGCAACGGATTTGTCAAGAGTTCTTGTGGTGACTGCTTCTGTATGCTGTCTGGTCTCGTTGACCCAAAGGCCCACGGGTACTTTGGCAACGTTTTGTCCGCAGTTCCTCTGCCACCTGCCAACATTTTTCACACTGTCATCTTGATGCAAGAGCTTGATGTAATGGTGCGGGAGTATCTTGACATCTTTCTTGTACTTGCAGCAAAGCGATGTGATTGTTTTTCAGGGTTTTCTATTCGGTCGCCTTGATCAAAAATTCTCCTGTGGACTTTGGCAACTGATGTGTCACATTCTTGAACAGAGCGGGTAGGCTTAGTCCACCTGCGAGCCCGCAAGCTCGACTCACCCACTGCAAACTCCCCTACCCTTCTTTCCTTTCTCTCCGGTCCGGCCAATGCGACCGCCGCTCGGCGTGTCGTGGGCGTTTCGCGCATGCTTCGCGTGCGTCACACCTTCTCACTCTGGGCGTAAGCAAACCTAATGTTGGCACACCGTTTGGGGCTGACCGACTGCAAGGCGGAAAATGCAGCCTGCAACAGCTGCTGCGATGACATCGCACAAGCGGCAGAAACATGAAGACTGTAGAAACGATGGATTTGGATTTGGTTGTTTTTTGTCTTCACGGTGCCATGCCGTCATGCCTTATCCCAAAACAGACTGGTGAGACCTACATCATCCACATCCCTGAACCCTTCCGAAAACCGAAAACCCAACAAACCTTGACCCCCAAAACCCGAAAGCCCTGATAAAGCCATGCCGGACATCTACGGCCCCTTAATCCCTCAACTCCACAACCCTTTGAACATCGCCCAACTCCACAACGCTATGAACATCGTCCTGAGCAGGCTGAGGCAGCTGGCGGCCAGTGCAGGCCATAAGCTGCTGTTGAGGGTTTCGATGATGGGTTTCGACTCACACAGTTGAACGGAAGGGGCGAGCCCTAACCCCTGAGCCTTGAACCCCCAACCTGTACCTGCCCCAAACCCAGATCGAAGC